TAGTGCCACTGGGCGGCCGACAATAGAGAGAGAGAACGGCTGGCGTCTGTGCTGGAGGAGACATGGGGCAGGCAACTATTACCTATGGTGGTGGGTAACACTTCACACAAGCGGTGTACTTAAAATTCACCTGTCCCATGAATTCCAAATACAATGAGATTGAACTAGGAAGTGATTTCTAAATGCATTAAAATTTTACATTGCATTTGATTTTTTCTTCCGACCAAATACTAGGATTTTTAAAACCCTTACATTCTGTTTACAGTGCAATCCTTATTCCATTGATTAAATAGCAGCTTAGCAAATCTCTCTCTCTCTCTCTCACACACACACACACACAAACACACACACACACAAAACATGACCTAAGAGCTCATGATGAGGAATGAAAAGTATTAGATAACTCATTCCATCTCTACGCCTCTTGCAGCTTTCGTCATGAATTCCAAGAATTGAAGAACGATGCAAAAGAAATTCCCTATCCAAGCTCCACTCCAACACAACCCGCTCAGACCTGTACTTCCATCGGCATAGAACCACCTCTCTTTTATTCACACAGACCCTGCCTAAGCTCCCTCAAATCCCCAATGAATGAAGGCTAAATTTGCTGTTTAAACACAGAAACTGTAAAGCTCAAAATAGTTGGCTAATGTTGCCGTGATCTTCCCTTGCCTGCTCCGCATTATTGACCATGCTTTTTGAATTTAGTCAAGCATAAAAAACCTTAGAATGAAAAACATGATTTACTGAAAATAAAAATAAAAAATCAAATGAACCTCAATCCAAATTCCTATGACAACAAATGAACTCAGCAAAGCTGTGTCGTGAAATTGTGAGTATTGTGACTGTATCATGCTGACCAAGATTAAATATCATAGTAACTCGGCAAAAAGATAAGGTGCTTTATGTATGCTCATTGTCAAGAAGTACCTCATTTCTCTGTTTCTTCTCATGACTGAGAAAAGCAAGGCTAGTGTCGAAGTCTTGTTGAACAACTTTCCTGTTGGGAAAACACAATATTGCATGAAGAGCCCAAAAGTGGCACTAACAAATTACCCTAAGGAAAAAAAAAAAGAAATGCAAAGGGAGGCGTGGGTGATATAGTTCCTATATCTGGCACGTATGTAGAATAGCATCAATTTACTCTACTTTAGTAACAGCCTACAACTAATGCATGCACATACGTTTTATACAATAATTAAAGTTCTAGTAAATGATAAAAGGCTTCGCAGGTACTATGGATTTACTTTTAAGTCAACATTGCAATAAGATGAAAAGCAATAGAAAACAAAATATTTTCAAGAGGTGTAAGAAGAGAAATAATATTGTTTTTGACAAGTAAAAATGATCCTAAGAGAGTACCATCAATCAAATACAGACAAGTAGGACACATTCATCAAAGAGAGAACCATCAATCAAATACAGAGTTAACAATGATATCTATTGCCGTGGACACGTAAATAATGTCGCTGACATGTTGTAGAGGGAGCTGCAGGCTTCTTCCACGATGTCCTTTGTCTAGAACAAACCGGTCCAAACTCAGGACGGCCGATTGGCTCTCCCACGAGGGATTAACGACATTTTTTCATATCCCATCATAGTTATCTATGACTTATATATGTGATTCTTGCTTTTAGGTTTGAAGGTTTTTTCTTGAAACTTCTGTCGGTAAAGCCTTTTACACCCCTTTTACCCTCCTAAGGATGTGTCCTACAGTGAGAAGGTGCTCCGGTTGAAACTCGTCCCAAGATGGTGTGTATCCTTCATGTTGCCACCCCTTCCAACCCCTCTACTGCCCACTTTTTCCGCCCTTCCTGTCTACCTGCTGCTTGCCGGTGCCCCTTCCAGTCCACTTGTTATTTGTTGTGATTCCTTTGAACCCTTTCCTTGCTTACTACTGCTCCTATCCACCCTCTTCTGCTTGTTGTCCAACGGCCAAATAGCCCTACATCCCTTTCTCCCCTTGTCACCACCTTACCATCGCCCTTCCGGCTTCCTTGCAGCTATTCAGCCGCAAGCCAGCCTTCTAGCTGTCCTAGACCACCTTACCACCAACAACTCTCAATTTCCACCACCTCAAACATCAATAAACTACCTTAAAACCTCACCATAGTGGGTATTTGTGTTTGTTTCATTGTTTTTCCTATTTAAAGTATCTTTGATTGTAACCTTATTTACTTTTGAGTAATAAAAATTAATTTTCCCTATTGTGATTTGTGTTAAATTCGATATTCTTTAGTATCAGAGGAAGTCTAACCCTAGTCCTAACTTAGGGTTTCTAGCAGCCCCATGCTCCAAACCTACGTCCACGAAATAAAATCTTTATGTTGTCCATTCCAGTACACTCTTCCACTACCTCCAATCCAAAGTTAAACCATGCCATAAAGGAGACGTGTTGAACTTACCCAAGAAGAGATACAACGAGGAATCCGTCAACTTCAAGAGAAACTTCTGGGGATTGATGATGGGACCTAGGGAAAGTTACCTCAATCGTGATAAGAAGAGTAAAATAAGAGAAAGAGAGATGAGAATAGTACCCCTTCCAAAGGGAGGATTTCAGTGATGAGAAAAATAGCCAACACACTTTGAAATTCATTATCAGAGGACGCCGAGAGAGGAGGAGACATATGAATGACAGAAATTTCAAAATTGAATTAGATATACCGGAGTTCAAGCAGGGATGGATTTAGATAATTTCATCAAATGGTTGCAGTCGGTTGAGAGAACCTTCAAGTACAAAGGGTTGTCGAAAGAAAAAAAGGGTGAAGCTCATGACCAAAATAAAAGGTACACTTCTTTGTGGTGGAAAAAAATTGCAGAGACAAAGGAAAGAAAGAAATGACAAGATCTTCAGATGAGAGAAGATGAAGAAGAAGATGTAGAGGGAATGCTTACCTCCTCACTACCGTCAGGATATGTTCCTGAGGTCCATCACCTACAGCGGAGAAACTTATCAGCGGAGTTCACGACATAATTTGAGCCGCTTCAGATAAAATGCGAGTTAGTCGAGCGAGAGAAACATACTATAGCCATATATAAAGAAGGTCTGAAGCCAACTATCAATAATGTTGTTCAATTATCATAGACAACCCCAGTCATATTCCCTGACATGGTTGAAAAAGGAGAACAGAATCAACATTGACAAGAGGTATCTTGTGAAATTTTCGATTAGAAGCCAGTTCCAGGATCAGCTTTTGATGTGATGTGTTACCCATAGATGTCTGTCATCTTTTACTGGAGAGATCATGGTAGTTTGATCGTAAGATTCATTGTAAGATTCAACATGATAGTATAGGAACACCTACAAATTCACCAAAGATGACATGCACATAACCCTTCTACTTTATGCAAAGTTCGAGATCATAGGTACCCTTGCTAGCAGAGATACACTGGGCACGAAATCCCTTACCTCAGATCGGGCTGAACTATCCTTGGGTTCATTTCTTTGGAAAATTCAACAGAATACACTGGGCACGAAATCCCAGTTCAAATCGATATCGTACCCCTAGATGGTTAGACCAATATGGATATTTTCTCCCAAAGTTGAGAAAACTCCTTTAGTGCTTTAGGGGACAACGTAGTCGCAATGGGATCGATGCTATTTGGACTGCAATCGATGACCGCTAAACCCCAGAAGATAACAACTACTCCGCTACTTTTAACTTGCAGACATAAGCTTCAACAAATAAGGTCAACGCTCCCCCAATTTTGGGAGACTGATGTGGGCACGCAAATAAAGTCGTAGGCTCACAAATAATGCCACTGGAGCGGCGTAGAGGGAGATGTGGGTTTCTCCCGATATGTCCTTCATCTGGACTGAACTGATCTAGAATTAGAGAGGTCGATTAGCTCTCAAACAAGAGATTTGCACCTCCTTTCCATAGGGGGATCCAATCATAGTTATCTAAGGCTTATATATGTGATTCATATTTTTAGGTTTGTAGGTTTTTGCTTGAGATTTCTATCATTAAAGTCTTCGAACTCTTCGATGTCTGTTTTCCCATCCTAAAGCTGTATCTGACAACAAGATGGAGCTACGACTATAACTTGTTCCACGGTGGTGTGCATCATTCCTTCTTCAGCTTGTTGACGCCCCTTCCAAACTTTTTACCGCCTCCTGCAACCCTGACCGTTCAACAGTGCTTTCCGACACCCCTACCAATGCACTTATTGCTTGTTGTCGCCCTTTCCAGCCCCTTGTTGCCACGCCTATCCACCCTCTCCTTGTTGTCTAGTTGTCGGTCAAACCTACATCCCTACTTTTGCTAACGCCACCCTCCCATTGTCCTCCCGCTTTCCTGCAGCTATCCAGTCGCAGGCCATCCTTCCCTAGCTGCCCCAAAACCACCCCACCACCCACAACTCTCAATTTCCACCACCTCGAGTAGCAGCCCACCATCTTCGAACCTCGCTCTAGTGGGTATTTGTATTTTTGTCATTGCTTTTCCTATTTTAAGTTTCTTTGATTGTGACCCTATTTACTTTTGAGTAATAATATTCGATTTTCTCTATTGTGGTTTGGGTTAACTCTTGTATTATCTATTTTAGAGAGCACACCAATAAGATCGTTGAACAGAGGTGCTAAAAAAAGAGTGTTCATAGAGAGTGAGTATTGTTAAAGAATCAAAGAAAGGTATCTATAAAATGTATTAATATAAAACATTGATGCAATGAAGACATGTAGTCCCAGTTGGAAAATAGCATTGATGCAATGAAGACAGAAGTCACTGGTGTAGTCCCAGTTGGAAGATAAGGAAGATCACAAAAGCGCACAAATCTATGAGAAATAAAAGAGCCCAAAGTGCCTCGGCGGTTAACAACAATTTGTATGGGTTGGTTAGCAACGAAGAGGCCAATATCGTGAATGGAGGTGAGTATGGGACACCTCACTAGAAATAGTAATTGCAAAGTTTGAACACTAGAAATACAATGACAAGTAAATTAATGAGGTGCAAAAGATGACAATGATAATCTTCATCAGCAAAAAGACACATTCATAGAAAGGAAAGATGAAGATTTGCATAGCTAAGAATAAGGGACTGTCAAGGAAAAACTAATAGGTTTTTATTTGCAAAGTATGTTAACGAACAAGTTGGAAGGTTTCAAGATAAGGCCACAATAGAGTTTAGAGGTGGAGCAGGCAAAAGGCAAGATTGGTGAGCTACAACACAACAACATCAACTAGTGTTATCAAAGTGCAAAGCACAATGTGATGCACAAGATTTTAACCCAAAAGCCAAAAGGCAAGATTGGTGAGCTACAGCACAATGTCACTGACTACTAATCTTAAAATTTTCATAATTAGACTTGTAACCCTAAAAGTGTAAGACACATCATTCCTAGAGCTAGATTTAAGAATGATCTTAGGCTTTTTTTTCTACATAATTAACACTAAATCTAGACTCATTCAAAAATTTTGAAACAAATATATGCCTTAAATTTTCTTTTTGTTTATATATGTTGACAAGAGTGAGAAATGAAGTTGTAAGATGAGAGATACATGGTCTGACCAATTTTGCACCACTAGTATAATTTTTCATCATGTTAAGAACAAGCCCATGGTTGTATAAGTATCAAGTTAACTCTAAAGTATTTTTTATAATATTTTTTTTGCTTCATCCATCTTTAAAATATCCTTCAATATAAAATCAAGACAATGTGTTGCACAATGTTTCCATACATGCACAACCTTTTTTCCATTAGTAATTTGACCAATATAAACCAAAAAGGTATTCAAATTCTTCAATTTAAGAAAAATATGTATTTATTTAAATGTAAATAAAATAAATTACGGACCTACAAAATATGTATCTATTTAAATGTAAATAAAATAAATTACGGACCTACAAGAACATAACTGGAGTGAAGAACATAACTGCAGCGATTATATATAACCACTTGAAGTAATTGTCTTTAATTTTTTATATCCATGCATCTAAACGTTCTAACAATATGTATCTAAAAATTCAAAAAATTTCACCGCAACTTTGCATTTTCAGATGCATCCATGAACTCAAAAAATAGTGTCTGATAAAGAATTAACAAAAAACTTTTATTATGAGACATGAGAGGGCATCCCTTCTATTCCGAATTTTTTTACAATTTTTCATATCATTCATAGTTGACTCCAATTCCTTTTTAAATATAGGAACTCCTAGCCATGATAAGATGGTGGTCCAAGGCCTACTCCATATTGTCCAATTATCTCAACTATATTATCAAAATTTTCCAACTTTGAAAGGGATTCCTACTTGATAAATCTATCTAACAAAATTTTGTATATTTTTTTCTCTGATACTCTTATCCACATTTTCTTTAATTCTCATCTATCGCATATATTTCCTTCTAGCAATTTTCTTTCAGGTTCTTTATATAGAAAATTATGCATTAAATTTTGCATTTTGATATAATATTACCATCTGATAAAAAACAAGAATCAAAGGCTCTTTTACCACAGTGCAAGGGTGGTTCAATATTTGTTCCTTCAATTATATCAATCACTTTCCCATTGACTTTCATATACAAATCATGCGTGATCCAAAGATACTTTCTAACTCTTTAATTACCAATGAGCTCATTTCTCTGATCCAAAGATACTTTCTTACACTTAATAACATTACTTCTTATTAATGTATTGAAAGTATCAATCAGGTGTTCAGCTTGAGAAATACTTCCATTTGTCTCCTTACCACAATAAATACATATATGACAGAGTATTCTATTCAAATTTTAATTTTGTATATTTCCTAAATTAGATATTTCCTGTGTTTGAATCCATCATACTTATATTATTTTTTCCTACACAAGTAAATTATTAATTACAATTTATAGATCTCTCCCGTTGAAATAAAGATTTAAAACATTTGAACTAGAATATTAAAAAAGGTATATACAAATTATAATTATTATTGTTTAAATATGATATGAAATATATGAATAAAAAAATTAAATAAGGCATTTATCTGCTTGTGGGTTCAACTAAAGGGCGTGTTCCGTGAGCAGGTTAGGCAAGGCTCCAGTGTCTTGCTCCCTTGCACCCAAATAAAATTATTTATTTTCCTAAAAACTGTTAGGGCATTTTAATATTATTTTAATAAAATATCCATTGAATTTTAAGAAGTATAACATTATCAAAGATTCAAAGCAGCTCATTAACACCCCCCCCTCCAATAATAAAAAAAACTAATATTTTGCCAAATTATTTTAAATTATTTGTAGTTCTTATTGATGAATCACTTGTCATTAAAGATGCAGCATATTACAAGAATTACATTTTTTTTCATCTTTAGACCAGACCGAACATTTAGATTTTATTTCCACTTGCCCATGAATCGGACTGAGCCGCTCGCTCAACGCTTTGAAGCATGCTTACGGCGTGAAGCGGGCATTGCAAATGAAGCGTGCTTTTAAAAATAATATATCAACTATAGCGTGAAGCGGGCATTGCAAATGAAGCGTGCTTTTAAAAATAATATATCAACTATAAGGTTTTGTGTGAAGGAATTCGAGCACCGCTACAAAGTCAATTGAATTCACAAAATCGTTGGTTGCAATGCAAAGACGTGATTGTTAAGGTATGTTTTGTCATTGTCTTGTTGTTGACATAATGTCTTGTTGTTGACATAATTGGATGATGTAGTTAGGTACGCAAATAGAGCAAAAGTCACCAGTGTTGAATTATTGAGAGCATATAGCAATTGTGTTTATTGATGGAGAGTGGTAATTGAAGGGGCTTGCTGAGGTGTGAGGTCACAAAAAAAGCAAACTTGGAGTGGTAGGGTGATGCATGTGCTACATGGTTTGTAGTAGAAGAGTGAGAAGCTTGAATTATTGTGTCCAACTCATTAGTGATACTAGAGATAGAGAACGAGATTGGATGCAATTTAGGCAAACAAAGGCCTAAATAATTTATAGGATCTCATAACGAAGGGATAGAAAAGTGTGAAGGACTGCAACTTCACCGAATTATCTTACTAGTACAAGCATTTAGATGTCTATATATAAGGAAAAGATAAAAAAACAAGAAGGAAATTTAATAAAGGAGAATATCCTAAAGAAGGAAGAAATATTAGACTAGTAAAAAACATATATCACCATAAATAAATTAGCATGTGTAGTCATTTATATAATGTGGCACCAACTCTTTGGGGAAATAGAAAACTCATCACGGACACTCAAATTCACCAGTATTTAATGTCATCATGAATAATCAGCAAGATATTCAAGCGACTAGGAAACTTACGGTTGACAAAGATGGGCCGGAAAATTTTGGTAGTGATCAATGTCATCAGAAACAAAGCTACAACGATGTTGGCGTTGTTGATTAAGCTGCAGATGCAGTTCAGCAACCTTCTTTTTCAATCTAGCAACATCTGCTTCAGCAAGGGCAATCTCCTCGAGTTCTGCCCTCGTCTTCAAATGTAGATATAACAATGAATTTTCATAAAATTTCAAATAAGAAGATTCAGTGAAGTAGCAAATAGAAAATTAGTACCTTAGAATCCATGCTTCGAGAACTAGAAAACTGCCCAGAAGACATGCTTAACCCAACCTCCAGGGCAGCCCTAAGATCCCTCTCAGTTTGTAGCTGCTCTTGCAACCTTGATACCTAAAAGATAATTGGAATATGATATGAATCATAGTATCATTGAAAAAGAGACATACAACAGAAATGAAATTGACAATACTTGCAAGCAAGTCTTTCTTGTCATAATAACCTCAAAAATATGCAGTCGAAAGATTGATTACTTCTAAATCTTCAAATTCAGGTTTTAATTTAAGTTCTAAGTGAGTTTCCTGCCAAAGCTGCAGTAGCCCTGTCTACTTAATGCATTTTCAAAATTCTACATAAAAAAGAAACAGAAATTTGATGGATTCAAAATCAGAAATACCAGAGTGCTGCTAATTCTTATTAAACACGGATCCACCAATCAATGTAACAGCTTAGAGGTTGCCAGGATTAACGTAGCATATAAACAGCCACAAGAGAACTTGATCATGCAGCCAACCAATATAACCTAAAGGTAGTTGTTTTGGTTCCTTTTTCTGGTTTTTTTTCCTCTTTTTTTTTATTATCGTATTATACCTCTTTCCAAATAAATATCTCTTCCGGATCATATGTATGATCCAAAGAAGCGAGGAATCCGAGGGCAAGGACAAATGACCAAGGAGACAAAAAAGAGAAAGAGCGTGGAAAATCTATGTGCGAAAAACTTCGTGTGATGGGACAAGAATGTACGTCCAAACAGAAACGGACAGAAACTTCTTGAGCCAAATATCCACGAAAAACAACCTGCATATAGTAACCAAACCAGAGAACCAAATTTATAAATTTATTCTGGGGTCAAGAGCTCTCCCAAAGAGATATATCTCATTTGGTCAATTACATCTTGAGGGTTGCTCAAGAATACTCTCGATGGCAGAAGTTCTGCTTGCAATTGAGTGACGACTAGCAAGTCACCAAGATTAGTTTATTTCATAAGAAACATCCTGTTGCTCAAGAATACTCTCGATGGCAGGAGTTCTGCTTGCAATTGAGTGACGACTAGCAAGGGTGTCACCAAGATTAGTTTATTTCATAAGAAACATCCTGACGGCTTTCTGAGCTCTCGCTAAGCCACAGAGCAGCGAGTCAGTCTCTCACGGTCTCAGAGGCTATCGCCGTGAAACAACCAAGGTTGGACTAAGCCGTAAGGCAGAGGGTGAATCGTCATAATTTGAAAAGGGAAATGATCTATCAGCTAAGTGAGGTCCGTCAAATGATATCGACGAAGAGTCAAAAGAGCAACAAGGCCCAATAGGGGTAGTCAAAGGGAGGAGGGATTCCTAAACAGGTAGAGGTAGCCGGGTCAGAATACCACAGATCCGTCATCTCAGGTTACTAAGACCCTAAGTCTACCCTGACATGTAGTCGACCCAACACGTCTAGAGATCCTCAGTCAATAATCCATGAATTGCGTCGTCCACAGAGACCTCAGTAGCTCTAAGGTCAAAGGAAAGAAACTATATTCTATGACTATCAGGAAGAACTCCAAAAGATGGGACTTATACCCTCCAAAGTGGGAAGAACTCCAAAAGATGGGACTTATACCCTCCAAAGTGGCGAGGATGCCATTAGAAAGAGGAGAAAATGAGGATCAATTACAAAGTTGGAAACACTGCACAAAGGGCTTTTACCCTGTCTGGGTCGAGGATGCCTCTAACATCCTAGACGCACTAGACAACCACCTAAGTAAAAAGAATATGCTGGGCTAGTCGGATTAGAAAAGCACGGGGGACTCCTCAGGTATATGCAAATGATGCTATTATCTAGAGCAGTCCTTAGATTTTCTGAAGACCCTCTTAGACATGATGGGGTGTACGGCTATGCATGCAACCCGTTTTAAAAATCGGCCCGAAGGCAGTACAAGAAAACTAAAGCACTTTTCATAGATTCAGACATTTAAATCCTAAAATTTTGATTATCTTAATCTTTTCTCATTAAGATTATTTAAAAAAAAAAATTATCAATTCTAGAGATTAGAAAGCTGAAGTTATATTTAGTGATGCATCCCATATAAACAAAAAAATGGGGAAAACAATCCAAGCAAGCAAATATGCAATAACAATACAAGAACATCAGAATATATAAAAAATACGGTGTCACTAGGTCAACAACATTTCTCAGTAAAAATATAAAAAGCAGTTAGGCACTGCATAAACATACATGTTCCTAATTCTATACAAGAATGTAAATTTAGACTTAAGGTACGAGACACAAGTCTGCTGCTCCTGGTCCCTCGTCATGTGACTCAATGCATCGTACGCCTCATAGCCTGTGCCCGTGCTTATACCCTAGTTCCAATACAAACTCAGTTCTAAAACTCTATCAAATACATGATAAAATAAAAGACTCAAGCTACACAAAATGCTTAGCACAAGTTAACATGCAAACACATATGAGTCATGTCTGGCAGGAGGAGCTAAACAGTGCTTGCAAGAAAGGATTAGTATTGAAATCATTACGTGCTCCTTTACTAAACTTGTGTGTGTATTTAGGCATGACTCTCTACGAAAGACCGACCTACTATGATGACCAAAAGCACAATTAAAGAAAAGGAACTGCCATGATGACCAAGCAAGACAGAACAATAGTCAAGTGCGAAAAATGCTACCTAGCAACCTAGTCCAAGCTTAGCACACAAATTTAACGAAGATTGTCTTAACCAACATCTAAGTGCACAAAGTAGTCTCCGGGTACTTATGACTTTGACAAGGACACCACACCGCTCATCCTAAAGATCCAAGGAACCTAAAAGGTGGCACTCGGGATAGATTTTGAAAAATAATTAGCCTTACATATGGCCTAGTATGCTACATGCAAAATTTTGAAATTATGGCGGATGTATTAAGTAAAAAAATACATTTTTTTAGTTTTAAAATAAGGGTCATTAAATACGAACATGCAACATGCAGGACACCACACCAGTACTTATGAATTTGACAAGGACACCACACCGGTCCCATCCTAAAGATCCAAGGGACCTAAAAGGTGTCACTTAGGATAGATTTTGAAAAATGATTGGCCTAGTATGCTACATGCAAAATTTTGAACCTATGGCGGATATATTAAGTAAAAAAATACATTTTTTTAGTTTTAAAATAAGGGTCATTAAATACAAACATGCAACATGCAGGTGATATGAGTTAGATCTCTTTGATCCTTAGCACAATCACACTCGTGATAATCTCAATGCTTTGACTCACATTATTCATCGGGATCGACTCGACAAGCAATGCTTGTTAAGACATCGTGACCGACACAGGGTCACTCTTATATCAAAGGTAGCTCACTATCCATGCACGCATACAAATGCAAATGAAAGCAATCATATGATAGAGACGGTGAGGACTATGTCGTGGAGGCAACAACCCAAAGAAATGAGCGTGTTGTGGAGGCAGCGACCCAAAAGAATTGGTGTGTCGTAGAGGCAGCGACTTGA